TCTATGTTATATATTTCTATTAGATGTGTACTTACATTATCCCGACAGTTTCCACCAACTTTCAAATACGGAGAAATTTATAGTTTAATTCGAAGACACGGGACGTTTTCCTATTTCCGTTTCGTCGCCCGTCTATGCCGTCATATAACCTTTGACTCCTCTATTTTCTCTAACTTCCTTGCGGAACCAGGCGAAACCGTCAAACACAAAGGGGAACACTGGACTACCGTCAATAAAGCAAAGAAAATGACGAATTACGAAGTACGTATTTTTATGTGTGTAAATCACGTGCCCGCCCACGAGCGCTCACTCTTAACAGACACACTGTCCGCGGTGCTGCTCGCGCATAAAGCGCTCCCCGTTCACAGTAACCGGTTCGTCTCATTCAAATCAGCCAACTGTTGCTGTTAGCGAGCCGCGCACATTGAATACTCTTATGAGTCAGGCTGCGAATGTACGTGCCCGCTTCAGCTCTCTCATGCTTACTAAATAAACGCCTTACCTCCGGCGCCGCGCACTCACTACATTCCCTTTAGCCTTAGTGGATGCATAACGCAAACCCAGTCAAACGTTTGACTGCAGTATCTTTATAGTATCTAAGCAGTATGTGCTTTATAATCCGGTGCGCCCTATATATCCGGTGCGCCATTTTTCATTAATAAATGAAAAATGTTCTAAAATAGGTCATTCATTGAAGGAGCGTAATATAAATATTTATATTCGTCTATTGCGGTCTGTATTATAGTTATGGACCACGATTACGCTTTGCCTGCACGTTCTGCTGCTACAGCCAGCTCAGTTTAGCTCAAACGTACGGGTGAAAAATATGACGCGAGAAGGGTTTTTGGACAGGAGAAGCATGACACAGGTAAACATTGGGGTTGCATTTAAAGCTTCTCAACAAGCTAAATCTACAGAGAGATGCCGTATATCCGTATATTTTGTGAAACGATGATGTCATGCCATGAGCTGAGCTGGTTGTCATTGACAGCGACAACAACTCCCGTGAGCCCACGCTCTTTCCCGACGTCATCAAAGTACGTCTTTTGTTATTATTTTAAATGAGTGACCCCTGGTGGCCAAAAATTTCATACTGTACATTTAAGTGGTCTTTTGTATACTAAACGTGATAGTCTTTCAAAGCATTTCTTGAGATTAGGGTCAATGTCCACAATATGCCATTGAAATGTTTTAAAGCAGCCAGCCATCAGCCAAAACTTCCTGAATATCCTAAAATTAAGCCATGCTACTGACTTTCTGTTATGCCACCCTAAGATTTGTACTCTGCCCATCTGGCCACCCTATTAAAAATAACCCGTCAGCTTGTCTCCTACTGGAGTATGAATAGGGCTGGGACTTGGACTCTGTAGAAGATTTCAGCAGAATTACCTTAAGTGTGAACGTGTGACGAATTAGCATCATCGACCGCCAACCACTTCATAACAGAGTTTAACACAACGATGCCATTCATTACAGCAGATTATGGAGGCCTGACAGAGAAGCCATGGTTCTCAGCTGGAATATTAAACCTGCACAGCTATTTAGCATTCCTGTATTTGTATATAATGTCGGGACTACAAGTTGTACCCACCCAGAGAGAGGTGGCCAGGTTTGTGAAGGCCAAGGCAAACTGATCGCGCTGCCATGCTGGGGTTGGCTGCCCCTGCAAGAGGGCTGCGTAATGGATGATGCCGAGGCCCTAGGTCTGACAGGTAATAATTCACTCCCCAGGGGTATGAGACCCCTCACTGGACTTAGGCAGCCAGGCAGGAACAACAGCTCTCATTCCACTGCACCTCAACTGCCTCATAACCCTCCTCTCCAGGTGTATCTGCAGCTATCGCCTACCCTGTTGCTACGGGTTACAACAATCAACATGAAATATGAGGGGCCATTATAGTGCGGAGTGAACTCCCTAGAGTAACTAATTGAAAGCGATCCATTGTGTCTCACAGCTGGTCCAAAACAGGTAGAGGATAGTTGTTTAGTTCACATTCAAATGTAGAGAATGGAATGAACTGCATTTGTTCTATTCTAAAGTTTTAATCCATCATAAAAAAAATTCTATGAATAACTAAAGCAGGGAAACAAGTCTCAAATGTAAATTGTCCTAATCTGATGAAATGGGGGGGAAACAACAACTGTAGATGATGGCTTTGATCCAATTGTGGCACCAAGGCTATTGTAGCTCTCATTACGCAAAGAGCCATTAGAAGCGCACAGCCATCCATGGTGGCATATAACATAATTTAGACTGGCATAACACAATTTAGGGCAAAACTACAGCAATTGAAATTGGATATAAATTACACCCAGGATATATGCATCATAGATTTACCTAGAGGAGACCATGATGGGTTGAGACAAAACCAGAGGTATTCACAGGGAAAATGTCTTCCGTGTCCTGTATATGTCTGGCTATCAAAGATCTTCTAGACAAACAGGTTAATGATTATAGAGAATCATTAGGGTTTAAACAAGGCTTTTAACCAAAACAAGGACAAATGATGTCTGTAACTTTGCTTATTCCGAACAGAATTGCTGTAAGATTGTTTTGCTTCAAAATGACAGTTAAATGATTGAGAAATATTCTCTGTAAAATAGCCAGAGCAATCTGCAAAAATGTCGTTTGGACCCCAATGTTCTTCAAAATATCTTCTTTTTTTTCTTGTGCTCAGCAAGAAGAGAGTGTTGACGTCAAACAATACGAAAGTAAACAGCATATTCAACGGTATTGTAATACATAAACATATCTAAAAGTCTAAAGCATATATGAACATCTAAAGTAAAGCAAAGAGAAAAGCTATTTAAGTGGAAAACATCACACTCTCTGACTGTATTATAATACTGGAACCCACTCAAATTCTTCTTGGGTCACTTCAGAATTACTGGTTGAATATTTTAAGAGCACTTATATTGCAATTATGGACCAAACCCACTTATTAAATAACAGTTATCAAACGTTTTTAAAAAAGAAAAAAAAAATACCAGAGGAAAATCTCTAATGATAGCTTAGTGAGCTATTTATTATTCAATAACACTTAGATGATTCAAGGCAACCTCGGGGTAGATGCTTGAAATATACCTCCTGCACCCGGAGGGATGAGCCCTCCAAGCACTTAGTCTTGCTTACGGTTGAATTTTGCAGAGACAAAAGTGTTTTAAGAAAGCACGGTCAGACATTAAGTGATGCTTAGGGCACAAACAGGGCTGTAGTGAACTGATCTATAACAAACGTACCAGCAATGTAGTAAAGCATTTGTGTTATATCTTGTGCATTGCTACATGTTTATGTAGGCTATTTGATACTTATTTGATGGATGACAGCCATAATTGCTCACTTTATGGACTTAAATGGACGACATGTCTAGTTATAAAATTATACCATCATAATAGATTTTAAAACAGTGGTCAAACGAGGTCGTTTTTAAAGAGCTAATTTCTGGCTGTTCTACGAACAGCATATGAACTGTTATATTATAAAGAGATTTTTGTTTCACTTTAACCAAAGACAACCATTAAGCTTATTATAAATCAAAAAATACCACACTAACTATTAAGGATGTTAAAAGTACAAGTAGTTTAATTGTTGCTTATAGACGCTCATGCGCGTGCTCTCAGCTAGAGTGCTTGCGTACTCGACTGCGCGGTCAAATGCACTTCTCCGTCACAATGCAGTTCTTGGCAAGATATTGGACACAGTCAGCTTTGTCTCAAGTGAATATATACACAAAGGCAGGAAGAAAAGAAAAAAAACATGCATATGTCAAAAAAGATCTGTGCATTAGGTCCTGTTGTTTATATGCAGCCTAAACCTCCTGCAGTCCATTATATCATTAATAACACTGAGAAAATATTGGCAAGGAAAAAGACAATCACTACCTCACTGCTCTCATCTGGATAACTTTAAAGCATTAGCTTTAATGAAGCCCACAACAGTTAGATAGCTAGTGGAAAACGTCACGCACTCTTTGTTCCTAGTGCGTTTCTTTGTTCTATCTATTTTGTTTACTTGTCTTACTGTGTTAAACTTAACTGAATAAAAAATAGATTTAATTCATTTGCGCATTAAAAACAGGCAAATAATGAAACAGGAGCCCGTGATATTGAAATTTAACTGGACTATGTGACAGGCTATTTCGGTTGTTTAGCTAACTTAAAGCTGTCATAAAAATAAATAAAACAAAATGACAGAACGGTTTGTATTGAGATGATACAAAGATGACTGTTCAGTTGAAAAACCCCCATAAAATTCCAAGTAATTCCTGCACTATCGGAACGATAAATGTTAATAAATGATTCGCCGCCACACTGCTGGTAAAGGTGCGCAACACGCTAATGAACATCCTACTGCACTCTCAGCTCCGTGCCCAAGGCCAAACTCCTCTAAAAACACCGACCAGCAGTCCAAAGCCAGCAAGTCTATCTTTCTGGACCAGGATACTACTCTCTCTATGTTTTACCCTCCGACTGACTGAGTGCAGTGCTGCGCGTTATAACGTTAACGTTAAACAACCGAGAGCTTGTAACCGTTTGACGCGCAAACACAAGTTACAGATTTGACTGGATAACGGACACTCTTCAGTGTCGTTATGTGTTTCTTATCAACATGACCAATGCGTGTTCCACTATAGTCACAGCATTAGTGGACAACCCAGCGGTTTTGATATTTAGGTGTGCAATCAAGACCAATGCCAATGTCCTAGGGTATAGTAGCCACACGTCTGAACAACATCTAAAACGAGCCAAAATAACAAAAATACAAGCATTAAATCAGATCAGAAACGCACTGTCAATAGCAAAGGCTGGCTTCACGTAGGCACTGACTGCAATATTTACCGACTTGAAACGATACCTGCTTATTTCCCCCAAATTGTGCAAATTATCGCAGTGCGTTTCTATCCTACACAAACTTCGCTGGCTGTCACGGTCAGAGTTTAAATCATAAAACAGACACGGAGAAAAAAACTTCCAGCAAAGGAGAAAAACAGCTCATTTACCTTTGCTTTCTTTTTTTAATTGTCCTTTGTGCTCTTGCAGAGGGTTGATTCCTTGCAGACGCGAAGCTCGTCCGTAGTGAAACACAGACGAAACGGAAAAGCTGGTTGTTAGTTTAGTGTTCCGTCAATTGGTTCATTGTCTTCATTAATCGCATTGGTAAGTGCGGAGCACCCCTTGGCACACAGCTGACACACGCCTATGAAAAAGCAAGACTGCGCTAAAACTCTATTACATTGTGAACGATCGCTCGCAGGCCACACCCCTAGTTTTCGAGTGACAGGTCGCTTGTCCAATCAGTATCCGCCGAAGTGTTTTGATGGTTCTCTTTAAAAGTTTCTTATAAGCCCGCCCATACCGTGAACTGTTTGAACTGTAGATCCTTCCTTGTAAATGACTAATAGTCCATTACATATCCAAAACAGCTGGCCAGAAAGAGTCTGATGGGTGTAGGTAATAGCAATTTGAGTTAGGCTACCTCATAAAATGAAGATGTTTGTGCCAATATGTGGAGCACATTTAGCATAAAAAAGATAATGTAGGCTATTAAATGATTTTAGAGACATTTTTATCTATGTGGATTTTTTTTCTAACCTCAAAAACATGGTGTAGAACACTAAGTCAAATATTTAAAGTCAGCATGATATCAGTTGACACTCTAAAGGGTTCACCCAAAAATGAACATTCTGTCATACTCACCCTCACGTTGTATGAGTTTCTTTCTCCTGTTGAACAGAAAATACAATATATTAAAGATGGTTGGTAACCAGACACATGTTAAATATTTGGGGGAATTTTGACCTGTGCCCTGGTTACTTTCTGACCCTCACAAGCATATACTTTGAAGAACAAACATTCAATAATGTGGTTTTGGTCACAGAGGTTCTCTGGACTAAAGCTGAGAGGAGATCATCCTGGTTCAGTGGGCACTTTTGAAGAGCTCAGTTCTCCCTTGACAGGAGATTTCCAACAGAGCTTAGCCATGGACCATAAAACCTGGGCCTTCTGCAGTGGTCAGGCACTAAAGTCCACATCAGGGGCGTTTCTAGGATTTGATCTTCAGGGGGGCTTAGCCCTCAGTGAGAAAGAATGTGTGGCAAGAGACCATTGCCTAAGTGGTACCTCTTTCTAAATTGGCACAGGCTATATTACTCAGTAAAAAGCACCCTACCAAAACATAAATTGGTACCAAGTCAATACAAAAACTTTATAAATGATACAGTTGTTCTGCTGTTCAGTTCAAATCAGTACACACGTTTAGACTACTGTTTGACAAACATACAATTGGCATCATATTATTTTCATTAATAATTATCACTGTAAAGTATAGCTAAAAAAACACTAAAGATTTTTTCTTCTGGCCTGGTCAGATCACAGCAAAACAATAATACAGCCTAACTAAGGAAAACAGAAGGTAAATGGGGCTGTTTTCATTTTAAGACATAATTGCAAGGATCAATTATATTGACACACATCCGATATTTTCTTAATTGTTTTCGACACCGACTGTGGGTACTTGTCAAGACGGGCATTTTGGCATAATTTTTTGTGTACGCGCATGCTGTCTGTCACATCTATCACAGTGCCTATGAAGTTACTTTCACGTCATCTTGTGATTGAATGGTTTAAAATCCTTTGAATGTTTAAACTAAGAAGACTTAAAACACATGAAAACCCAATCTTTCAAATGGGTTATAGTTATTGGGGGCTGAGACGGCAGATGACAACAGGCTTAGACTAAAAACAGTCTAGAACCAACCTTGGTTCACACCCATGTACATATTTTCCCCCTTTCATTTACATGTTATTTATTTTTGTGCCATAAATAAAACCTAAGAGGGAAAAATAACATGCACAGTCACAATGCAAGGGTTAAATCATAGCTCCAAAATCCATTGTGTCATTGTTGCTTTTCTGTTGGGCTGACGGGCAGGAAAGATGTATTAGAGCATATGCAAGAACAACAGGTAAAGTGTAGAAGGCAAAAGAAATTGGCAACATAATATATCATATAACATTTCTTTTCCCTTCTACACTAAACATATTCCCTGCCCGGCCGCCCAACCGAAAATCAACAATTATATATATATATATATATATATATGAGAAGAATGAAGAATTGAACCATGAACATTAATAATTCCCAACATGGCAAAGAGTTAAACATTTTTAAGTGCAATCTGTGAAATTGCTGTTGTGTTTTGCCTTGTCATGCTTTTCACAGACTCAGTGGGTTTTTGGTTGGTTTGGCATATTTACAGACAGAATTTATCTGTAGTTTCCTTTGGCAGTTGGATGTTTGCTAAAAGCCCAGTAAGTACGGTGAGCTCTCTGGAAAAGAAAGTGATCCAAATTCATTCAGTCCGGATAAAGCTCTACTATATCCTTTGACTGCTCACTCTTCTGAAATGGATGTTGACAAAATCTTTAAAGTATTTTAAAGCTATAGTGGTCAGGGAGCTGTCAAAGCACTTTTTTTTTTTTTACAAAGATTCACTTTTATATGCTTTTGTTTCTTTTGATCCTTATGTCCAGGGGGTGTCATCGTCAAAACAAAAGCTCTTGAATACCAATTTGTGATCGATTCTGATTTGACTGTCTGGCTCAAATACATTTTTCATACTATGCTATTCTTAAACATTTACAGAATGTTTTATGCTTGAACATTCAGAATATTGAAAATGGCATGAACATACTATAAAATAGACCCTCTAATTTCCATATAACTTTTAAAAAGAATTAAACCAGTATGAATATCAACCAGATTTACTTCTCTCAGTAAAAAAAGCTATAGCATCTGAGGCGTTAACTGAACCTTTAACATGTTAACATTCCTTCAAACATTCACTCTTCACTATCATTAACAACATGGACACAAACCTCAAAGTGCAATGTGGTCTATCATATGACCTACCCACACTGTGTTTATATTCCAGCGCACAAACATACACAGACAAGCTGGCTACACATCCTGTTGCTGTCATCATCTCTGTAGCAAATCATGTGGTTTGTGATCCAGAAGACTCCTGGAAGCACGCAACAACTGAGAATATGAATATTGTGCCTTAGTGCCTTAAAATGTGGACCATAACAACAGACGTTCATTATATGGTTCAAAATATCTTCGTTTATCTTCAGCACAAGAAAGAAAGACATTCAGGTTTGGAATAACACGAGGGTGAATAAAGGTTGACAAAATTTATTTTTGGGGGGTAAATAATCCCTTTAAGACTCGCTAGACACCTTCTGTGTAAAATACAGTGTTTTTCTTCAAAACGTTGGTCAAACTGTTAGTTTCAGACTGAAATGATTGGAGGGTGTTTCTCAATTAGCGCCCTAGCTCTCAAGCTTGTGAATCAGAATATTGTGTACATGAATAAGGGCACTAAGGACCCTGGCTCACTACACATTGGGACTGTGAATACTCAATTTTCCAATTTGACAATACGTGCAACATTGTAGAATGTCACTGATATTATCAACAACAGGCAGGACTTATATCTTTCTGAAAGTATTTGTTATGCTTTGTAAACACATTGTTCTGTTATAAACTAAAGTGCTGCAGGTATGATGTCACTTTGCAGGCCAAAAGGTGGAAATGAGTTGAATAGGATTTTGGTTAAATGTCTGAAATAAAGTCTGAGGAGAACACAAGCTCAAGACACTTTCACATTTTATTCAACAACATAAAATACATCAGTATTATCCCACTCGTGATAGATATATGTGAAAAAGGCAGTCGCTAACAAGTGTCATGGGACTAGAGGGATATTAAAGGTCATCACAATGAACAGGTAAGCTTAGTCCTCTTTTACAGTCTCATCATGTTTATAATCATGCTCTTATAAACTATTATAATTCAAACTTTCTGGGGAAATATTTTTAGATAAAAACTGAAAGAGTTGTGGGAAGCGTAGTGGTGGTGACATGACATTGAAGTCTGGAGGCCATGGAGTAGTTTGTTTAAAAGCCTATCTTTAGCTTTTTACTGCTGGCAACTGCATGTACATTTTTATTCATTTAGCTGACACTTTTATCCAAAGCGACTTACAATTGTTATATATGTCAGAGGTCGCACGCCTCTGGTTAAGTGTCTTTCTCAGGGACGCATTGGTGTCTCAATGGATTCGAACCCGGGTCTCTCACACCAAAGGCATGTGTCTCATCCGCTGCCCCATCACCACCACCAGCATTTAGGCTTCAAAATTCATTGAAGTTGTGTTCATCTTGAAAATGGTCTTTATGGACAAAACGCGTAAGTATCATTAACTTTTGATGATCACAGAGCTTGTTTTTTTGCGATTATCCAAAATGGAAAAATCCTATTGGGTTTTGTTGTTGTTGTTGAGGTGGCCAGTATGATGCTCAAAGTTACGTCACACCGGCACCACTCTATTTTTAATATATTTAAGCTGAATATTAATTATAAATGTTAACTATAGATCTTTTCACTGCCTGACTAGCGACTAGTGTTTATGTAGACAAAAACGCTTTGTCTTTTGCTTCACTAATGTGACGTAATGTCCTGTAATGGAGCATCGAGAATCGATGCTGCCTGTTTTTTTCAGAATGTTCTAGTGCACTGAAATGATTTTGTGATTGAGACAGCCCTTAAACCCATACAAACCTTGGAGAAATATTTGACTATTTTTATTTTTTTTTTTCAAATTAGTGCTGTTGTTAGAGGTACCTTTTTCAATTTTAAGATCTATTGCGTTGAAGTATCGTCTTTCAAGTAAAGAATTAGAAATTGTAATTCATGCACTTGTAACATCATAATTAGATTATTGCAACTCTCTTTATTCTGGTCTCCCTCGATCTTCATTATCACGATTGCAAGTTGTTCAAAATGCAGCTGCAAGACTTTTGCCTGGGTCTTAAAAGACCACATCTCCACTATTTTAGCATCCCTTCACTTTCTTCTCATTAAATTCAGAGTTAATTTTAAAATGTTCTTAAGGCGTTGTCTGGCCGTGCACCAAGGTACATAATTGATCTTCTAGTTCCATACTGTCCAGCTAGGGCACTTACATCTTGTAATCACCTGCTCTTAAGACACGGTGTCACTACAAATCAAAGGGTGATCGGGCATTTCTGTGGCTGGGCCCAAGCTTTGGAATGGTGTCCTGTATCATGTGAGATCTGCTCCTTCACTGGACATTTTTAAATCCACTCTTAAATCACACTTTTATTTACAAAATTAATTAATTTACATTATCCTTCTTTAGTTGTGTCTAT